TCACAGCTGAAGCAGCGTAACTGGCAGGTGGGGGGGGGGGGGGGAGAAGGATGTTGAGACAGTACAGTGACACACAAGGCAACCCTCACAAGGACCTTCCAGTCTAAAACGCCAATGCTGAAGAGGCTGAGTTAGCCACAGAGCAGGCTGAGCTTGCAACTAACTGTCTGTGTGGCAGGTCCTTCTGCCCTGTGGGGTGCAGTTGGGACAGCCTCCCTCTGAGACTCCGGGGCCTTCAATAGAGTTCCCACACCTTCAGTGAGAGGGCAACTTCCTCACACTGCTGGCCCCGCCAGTGCCAGTCGGGATCGTTCCTTGTACACATCTCTGAGGTGGCTGCACAGGCTCCCAGAAAGCTCAGAATGGCTGAGGCAGGCAGGCTTTAGGACCAGACACCTTTTTGAGCAACAGCTTCAAAAAGGAGAAAAAGAAATGCTAAGGGGGAAACTACCAAAAAAGTGTCTATGGTGGCCTTTAATGGGACAGGCTGAGACAAGATTGGAATGCTGGCCTGGTCCACACTTCTCAGAACTCTGAGAGATGGCTAGTGTTTCCTCTATCCTCCCCACCACCCCCAGCCCAAGCTGCTAACACAGTCTTCAGATTGTCCTCAGCCTTTGTATTGAGAAGCCTCAGGGCCATCTACCCACCTCTGATGGCATGCCTCAGCCTGCCATGGCCATGAAGACTTTGGGGAATCCAAAGTGCTCCTCCCATGGCTTGTGAAGAGTATCCACTCAGCACAGGGCAAGGGCCTGCTAATGACCAGCCATTCTGAGTGCAGGAGACCAGCAAGAAGTGCTAATAGCAGGGTGAGGAGCTGACTTCGGATGCTTGAGCAGGGAAGGGAAGGAAGTCTGAGAAAGAACCCCCAATGAAGAAGAGCCACAGGCAAGCTGCCCTGTGTGAAAAGATAACCAGGGACCACAGTGCTCTGCTCTCTAGCACACAGTGGAGAGAGCAGAGAAAGCAGAAGCTATACAAATACTGGAGGTTTAGAATCGGAGTACAGAGCAAGTCATCTTGTTCATCTAGAGGTGATGATCCTTGGGATTAGAAGAGTTCCCACCGGGAAAGCACTGTGTACACTGAAGGGCTAGAGGGGCATAAGGGAGCCTTCTTTTAGCCATTGAGCTGGAAGAGAGTTGGAAAAAGAAAGATGCTTCAAGGACAACTTGGCAAGTCTTGAGGACCACCATCTGTGCTTGAAAAAAAAGGGGCCAGGGCAGAGGGGCAAGGTGCATGCATGGACACTAGAATGGAGCCTGAGAGGGGAGCTGGGCTGGAGAGTGCTAAGTGGGGTCTGGAAGGAGTTTGGCCTTTGTTACAGTGAGCCTAAGTTCAAGCAGGACATGGCTGGCTGAACATAGTGGGATAAGCTTGTAATTCAAGCCCTCAGAGGTCTGAGACAGGAAGTTAGGAGTTCAAGGCCAGCCTTGGCTACATAGTGAGCTTGAAGCCAGCTTGGTTTATACAAGACTCTGTGTCCCAAACCCAAAACAGTAAATAATAATAATAATAATAATGATAACAACAACAATACCAAAACCCTAAGGGAGGAATACAACACAGCACTCAACACCACACAGATCTACCTCCTCCAACCCAGCGTAGGAGAGTCAACCCCTGCTATGGACATCTGTGTCACAGGTAAGGTTTGGGGCAACTTCGCCTGGCTGTTACAGCATCACTAACCTCTTCTTTTTTGTTTTTCAAGACAGGATTTCTTTGTGCTGTCCTGGGGTTCGCTCTGTAGATCAGACTGGTCTTTAACTCACAGAGATCCACCAGCCTCTGCCTTCTGAGTGCTGGGATTAAAGGAATGTGCCACTAAGTCTGGCTTTATATTTAAAAAATGCCCTAGGGGACATAAAACTGAGTCCCATCAACTTTTCTAAGTTGGGAAGCAGCTTGTGCCTGGGCTAAATGCTGGCTGTTTGCTACCTATGCTACTGTGGACAGTGTTCCCTACTTCTTGGAGTCTGAGCAACCTGAGTAGAGAACTGGACAGCAGAGGGGGACCCACCCACTCGCCCCTCAGAAACCTGCCAGCAGAGGGGACCCTTCTCATCCTTCCAGGGCCAGTGTGACCAGGTAGAGGGAACCTAGGGAGAGAGAGCACAGAGTATCTGGGAATGTAAAATGGTCTCGTTGCCTCCAGGGCCCCGAGAACCCGGTGTTGGGTGCAGTGTCACGGCAGAAGCCAGCACCATAGCAGACAGACACCTTGGGCTTTAGATGGAGGCTCTGGGCGAGGCCTAAGATCTGTGGGATGTGAACTGACCCATGCAAAGGCCTGTGCCCACCCAAATTCAGACATTGGCTGATCTAGAGAGGTGAACTCTGAGAGGTTGCCTCTTTGTGTTGCATGTGAGTGCCCAGAGGTCAGGCTGGGGTAAGGGTTAAAAGCTACATTCCTCCAGTCCCTCAGGTCCGCAGGCACTGCCAGCACAGGATGGGGAGCTGTATCTAGGGAAGAAGGGACTGGGCTGGAGCCCACATTGTGCTGCTCTCCAGATCCAAGGTCACATAGTTTTCTCCCTCTTGGCAGCCACATCTCTTGCTGGGACAATACAATACTATTTCAGCCGCCCCAGGCCACTGGAGTGCCCCTGCAGCCAGTGGACTCCTCTGATTGGCTGGCGCCTTACTCCTTCTGAATCCTGTCACGGCTCACCATGACCACAGATATTACACCCATGATAGCGGAGGAAGGTGTCTTAATAACCAGCCTGTACAAAAGGGACACACTGGTCTATTTCAGACAAGCCAGCATGTAGGATCGCTCTACAAATGAGGCTCAGAGTCTGCCTGCCTCTCTGTCTTTCCATGTGCGAATTTAACCTCCAGCCACACTAATAATGTTCTTTTTAATGACCTGAACACATCCTTACACAGCTCCGCCTGCTTTTGTATGTGCTGCTCACAACGACCCCCTCTTCCTGCCTCCCCTATTTTACCTCACAAATGCAATCATTTCCTCAGCCCATCCTCAGGTGGGGCCCCCTGCAGCAGCATTGCATTCCCACAGCACTCTGGGCCACTGATCCTCATTTGCCATCTGCTATTCACAGAGAACAGGGCCCACTGACCCACACAGTGCAGCTGGGCCCTTGAGTATCACCTGCTAGACAGAAAGATGGCTGAGTCTCTGCTCTCTGTTTGCTAGTAGTGTGGCCTTGGGAAAACAACTTGATCTCTCTGAACTATGGACCAATTTCTAAAATGGGAATAACTAAGGTTACCTTATTGAACAGTTGTAACCACATGAAATGACTGGTGTTCAACAAGTTCACCTGGCATCAACTATAGGCCCACAGTAGATGCTTAGCAAATATTAGCAGAATGAAGATCCATTCATCTGGCACTGGCTACCTAGTGTACTGCTGTGTGGCTGAGAGCCTCTGGTGTGGGCACGTCTTGCCTGCTAACTGCCTAACGAGCTCCAGGAAGCTGGAGTCCCATGGGAAGCTTCTCCTGAGAAGCCTGGCTGCACCTCCCACCTCTGCCCATCAAGTGCTCAATGATGGATGTAAAACACAGAGCACTCCCTCATCTTTAAGGCCTGTATCTTAGAAATTGCTGAACAATTTCAAGCCTAGCGTTGCATACCCTCACTTTAAGACCTCCCAGCGGTAAGGAGATTCAGTCCCGGTGATAAGTCCTGCCCTGCCCAGGTGCCCACAGCTAGCGAGGCCTATACATCGCTCATACTGTTCACACCTGTGGCCCCAGAACAGCTCTCTGCTTCTGGCAAGAGTGAGAAGGGAACCACAAACTCCAGTATTGGAGAACATCAGGTCAATCCACCCTTACTTCTTCATAGCTATGTCCCCCCAATAGGTACCTAGTGCACCACTGGACATTTCCTGTGCCTGTTGAATTAAAAAATGAATTTATGAATGAACCAGCCAAGGAGCTGAGAATCAAAGCAGGAATAAGAACATGAAGACCAGCTGGGTGTTGGTGGCGCACGTCTTTAATCCTAGCACTCGGGAGGCAGAGGCAGGCGGACCTCTGTGAGTTCGAGGCCAGCCTGGTCTACAGAGTGAGTACCAGGATACATAGAGAAACCCTGTCTCGAAACAAAGACAAACAAAGAAAGACCAGAGGCTTTGAGGCCAGTAGCAGGCTTTGACATCAGTCCCACCCTTTGGTGGCTGAGAGACCTGGGTGGGTCGCTATCTTCTTCACTGTTCCTTCCTCACCTACAGAAAGTGAACCACAAAGCTTCCAAACTTCATGACTGCTCTGCCAACAAAATGAGATCACACACGCAGCACTCAGCACAGTGCCTGGCTTTGCAAATGTTCACGACTCCTGCTCGTCATTGTGGTGGCTCATAGAACAAAAATGCCTGCCGGTCAGTAACAAAGCAATGACAGGGTTGTTGGGACATTGCTGACTGTCCAGGTTTCCATTCACTTCTCTTCAGTGTCACCATTTTTTGAGACAAAGGCAGCAGGGGCTGAGACGCAGGACCCAGGGGAAGAAAGAGCAAGCACCCTTCTAGGGATATCAAAAGTAAGAAGGCAGGAGACAGTGGGAAACAAGGGGCAGCAACCGGAGGCTGGACTCCACAGATAGATCAGACCTCTGGTCCCTGAGGCAGCAACAGCGAGTTCAGAGGTCATCTTCGGTGGGACTAAGCGCTGGCCAGTGGGGATGCAGGGTGGATGAGACAGTGTAATAGATGGGGTTTTTTCCTGGTAGCCAGCCCAGGAGCTATTTCCACTGACAGAGGCAGCTGGCTTGGCATTGCCCCGACATCCTACTTCATTAGCGTGTACCCTAGCACTGGGGTAGCCACAGGGACCAAAACGGATAGAGTGCCAGGTTTGGGCCACCTGGCTCAGTCAGTACCCAGGATCTAAGCACAGGGGAGGAAAGCACGGATCCTTCTACCTTCTCTGGGTTGCTGTGTCCAATGTCCCAGGCTTCGGAGCACATTGACCCCTTGTAAAGGGCGGGTGCCTCCCCACCACAGCTGCCCCGCTCACCCTCTGCAGAAACTCCGTGCGCTCCTTCTTCTTGTTCCGGCATCTGGCCGCGGCGACTTTGTTCTTCTCCCGGCGCCTTTTCCTTCGCTCTTCTTCCTCATCTAGCTGTGAGGGCACAGAGCCACGGATTAGACACCACGGGTGACCCTGGGCACAGCTTCCCACCTGACACATAGACAGACAGGGGGACAGATCCCCCTTTCGCACCCTCATCTCAGCAAACACCTCTGGCTGCTGAGATGGACAGATCTCCTGGTCATAGGAGGATATACCTCGGGAGCAGGTGGGTATCCTGGGGAGGGGCCAGTGTCCCCTAAGGGTAGAGCTACCAGCTCAGATGGAGTTACTGGGGCTGGGAGCCTGGCTAGTCCACTCACAGGAGGCAGGCGGCTCCCCACAAGGGAGTGGGGCAACCTGTTCTGCCTGGTTCAAGCCCTCTGGGTGTGATTTTTTTCCAGGCCAGCAGCTCCTAGGCACTTCCTTTAAAAACACCTTGGGCAGAGACCCAGGTTCCCACTGTGCACCTGCCCTGCCTAGTCTATCTTCACCCCACCTCTTCGCTGCCATTTCAAACCCATGCCACCCATTCCTACTAATGAGGCTCCTTTTGTTGGTCCCCCAAACTTGTGATCTATTTCCCCAGGCTCTCACAGTGACTCTGTTCTCTCACCTGGCTGGAATTCTCTTTCCCTTCTTTGTTGTCCTCCCCCAAGACTTCAGCTATGAGACAGCTTGGTGTGTGTGTGGGGGGGGGGGGTGCCAGGACACATCCCAGAGTCCCCTGAGATTACCAGCTAGCCTGTCTCTGGAAGGAATTCAGGATGCATAAAGTAAATGCCATAACCCAGGAGGAGGGGCAAAAGCTCACCAAGCAGCCACCCTGCCTGGCAGTTGCTAAAGTTTCACTAGCAGTAATAACTGGAGCTGCCTCTTGCCTGCTTCAGCAAAGGCTTTCAACACGAACCACTCTGTCCTCAAGATCAAGAGACAGCACTGGGAAGGAGCTGCTACTGTCCCATTTTGCAGATAGCAAGTCTGAGGCTTAAAAGGTCACTTTATCCAAGGCCATTCAACAAAGACACGGCAGAGCCAGATCTTGAACTCAGGTTTTACCAGTTTCAACCTTTCTGCTCCCCAAATTAATTAATTAATTAATTAATTAATTAATATTGAGGCAGAGTCTCGTGTAGCCAAGGCTATTCTCGAGCTCACTATGCAGTTAGGATGACCTTGAATTTATAATCATCCTGTCTCCACTTCCTGAGTGTTAGGATTATAGCTCTAGGCTACCACAGATCAATTTATTAGAAACTGGGGATTAAACCTAGGGCTTGTGCATGCTAGGCAAACACTTTGCCAGTTGGGCCACATTCCTGCAGGGGTATTCTGTTGGGGTGGCTTGTGCTGTCCTTGCCAACCAGGGAAATCCAGAGGCCTCAGAGGGCCAGCTGGACCAGGGACAGCTCCAAGTCAGAGGCCACAAGCTGTGGTGTTGCTCTGTGTTTGCCAACTCTGTCACTTCTTGAGTGGGATAAGGTTAGGGGGCGACTCTGGCAGTCCAGAGCCTGTGACAAGGTCTCAGCCCAAAGGAACATCAGCCAGGAAAATAAGGATCCTCTCACCATGCCCTTCTGGCGTGGTCAAGAGCACCGGGAGGGAACCCAGCCCAGCACTCTGGGCCGTGAAACTGGCCCCCTGGGAGGCTGCTGGAGAGGTGCCCCATCGATGCTGCCACACCCGATACCTCCCAGGCCCCTGGCCTCCTTTGAAACCATACCAGAAGTGACAGCTCCTCTGGCTGACCTGCATCTAGAATACAGAAACCTGGCTGAAATAGATTCCGCCCAACCTCAGCCTCACCCCAGAGCCGGCAGAAGTAAGTGTGACATCAGGCAAAGGGAAGGAACTGGAGGAAGTGGCTGCCAGTGCAATCTCCCCTCTGCCAAGAGGCTTTGCCCACAAACTGTCATGACGATGCATGCAGCCTGCCCCTGCCGGACTCCAGGGCCTCAAGCCTTTCCCTAAGCAACCCGAGGAGATGCAGCCCTGTCCCCAGAATCTGGATCCCACCCCTACCCCAGCACAAGGCCTGACCCTGAGTTAGGAGCGACTTGTTCAGGGGCTATGGCTGCAGGTTTAACAGATTGCCTGGGTCAGTTTGACACCAGATCAGTGGACCGTTCCGTCCACTCTGAGCCCATCAATCCCTTCTGTCAATACTTTTCACTCTGGATGCCACGCCCTCCTCCGTGCCAGTCAGACCATCCACCCCGGCTAAGGAGACTTGTCTTTCCTACTTGGTAAACTCATCCTTCAAGAGGAGGTGAATGCCACCTCCTCTAGGAAGGCCCCTTGGATGCCCCTGATAGGAGCCCTGTGCTACCACAGAATTCTACCCCAACCCCAGTTAAAGTGGCCACCTGCCTTCCCTGCTATTCTGGAGGATGGGTACCTACGAATGGCACTCAGTCAGTGATAATGGCCTCAGCTGAAGGAATGGAACACCAGAGTGTGGAGAATGGTGCAGATGGATAACTCACTGTCCAGACTTTTGTGGCTGAGTTGTCAACTATGAGACCTTAGCCCAGCACTCAGGAGGAAACCTGTTCTGCTGGGGTGCCTCTTGCCTGTCTGAAGGGGTTTGGAAGTGTGTTACCTGTCTTCCTCAGAAGCACAGTGACTGAAAACAGTATCCAGATTCGGGGTACAGGGCACTAATGACTGGGGCAAGTCCTATGCAGTCCTGGCAGGAATTTGGGTGTGAATTTAGGTCTAGAGTCCCCCTTTCTGCAGCTCCCACTGTATACACTCACTCGAGGCCACTCCTCCACCCACGCCCACCCTGAGCAACCTTCCTCACCAAATGACATCTCGTGGAATTGAGATGTAGCCCAAGATGCCACTTACCACATCTTCCCCATTAGAATGGGGATGTGTTTCTCACCGCCCCCAACTGCTGCTCTGGAGCTGCCTAGGGGCGACAAGGCTGGCAAGGCCCTTCCAGACACAAGGCAGGGGCTCATGGGGCCTCTGCCTTCTCCACCCACACAGCTCCTCACACTATATCAGTGCCTCAACTGTATACAGACCTCACTAGACAGAGACTAGCCTCTGTGCCCTCCCCCAGCCTCCTCTGACATCTCCAGAAAGGAAGCTGGACCTCCCCCTCCCTGATACCTCCTGAGTTCTCCAAAGCATCTGACAGAATGTTCTCACCACACACAGCCCAGCCATCTAAAACCAGAACCCCAAATGGGGAGGTGGCAGAGCTCCTTACAAGGCAGCTGGAAGAACTGAGGTGTCTGAGGGGGAGGTAGCTTATGGCAGAAGGCATTTAGAGAATGGTGTGATCGAGTTGGCAGCTGGGGAGTCCATCCTCCCCAGCCATCACCCTTAGCTCTGTCTGTGTTCTGCCCAATTCCCAGAAGCCTCAAGAGCAAAGAAGTCTGCACAGCATGAGAAGTGTGTCTGCTGTACTCTGCGTTGAAGAAAAAGGCTCTTCATGGACCAGCGACCTAAAAGGCCCTTCCTCACCCCATCCCATCTCTGATCTCAAGCTGATGGGACAAGGTAAGGATGGCTGATAGGAGATGAGCTGTACTGTGATTTGAAGATTCTGAGGGCTGCACACCAGAGATGTGTGCAACTTCCACCATTGCAGGAGGTGGAAAGGTCGGGCAGTTTAAGTCCACAGGAACAAAAAGAAACCTAAGGGAAACACTCAGCTGCAGGAGGGAGTCACAGGGACAAGGGGAAGGTGTGGGCCAAGGTGGTGAGCAAGATACCGAAGACACACACTGGAGAAGGCTCTCACCCTGGGGCCCCTGTAAGTACAAAGTGGGCACCAGGGAGGGAGTATACCCTTCAGTGTCAAATCTAGGCCCTCGGCCTGCTCACCCTGGCGATGGCCCTGAGAGACAGTCCCAAGTAGAAACAGATACATGTAGAATGAAGAGACAAAGATGGATGATGAGAGGTGGGGCTTGTAGAGATGAACGGGAGACACAGACAGACAGACAGACAATGGCAAACAGAGGCACACAGACAGAAAAAGAAATATCGTGGTCCTCTTGATAGCACCTAGCAGGACCTGACTATGCAGCTTGTCTTTGGGGTTCACGATGGACCCACAAATCCTGAGACTTTTTCCTTTGGCATGGAGTGAGTTTGAGGTTTCTAGCACTTGCTACTGAAAGACACCTGGGACATTAGGCTCCCCCCCTCACATAGTCAGGGATGCCGGGTGATACAGGAAGAGCAGAAGGTGGCCCTCAGTGATCTCAGGAAGCACTACCCAGTACCAATGCCTCTATACTAGAACCAGCCACGGCAGAGTGGCAGAGCATGGATGCAGAGGGCACTTAGACAGCTACAGAGACCAAACAAAAGGCGTCAGCATTGGGAAGATTAATTTCTAAAATTCTCTCTCCCTCCCCACTACTACTATTCTGATGAACGGACACAGAGTTAAGCCGAGTGGACAGCTTGTCATTTTACTCTCAGCCCTCATCAGAGAAGCTCCCATGTGTAGTAGTGTAGTGTAGAGGTGGTTAACAGAGACCCACACCTGGTCAGCATGCTGCGGACGAGTGTGGAGCTCTTGGTCCTAAACGGGCCAGGTAGCTGTCCCGTCCCCTCCCAAGGCCCAGGGATCATCGTAGAAGAGAGAACGGAAGGCGTGTAAGTGCCTGGGGTGGTGGATGACTACAGTGAATCTGTTTTCAGGACACAATTGGGCAGCTGTGCGTATGAACTCAGAACAGTTACGGCTGCATGTGAAAACCTCAGACGGACAAAAGCTCGGGACGGACAAGATCCCAGCACACTGAAAGGGGAGGTGAACATGAAGCTCCACCCCAGCCACGGAGCCAATAGCAACTGATGGCTGCTCGGAAAGGAGAGCCAGTTGTTCTTCAAGGATGCAGCCCTTGAGAGGCCACCCTTACTGCAGAAGACAGCCCTGTATCCACACACCTTCTGGCAGCCCTCGGTTCATTCAGTTGGTAGACACTAAATGCATGGAGCTGGGAGGAAATTGTTGAAGAGAGGCGGCAGAGGAACCTAGCACAGGCAATGAGGGTTTGCTTGATCAAAACACACTGGGT